GAAAAATATCATCGTGAAGCGAGCACGCCCCTCCAAATTTCGGCTCCGAGCGCGCACTACACAATGTTTGTGCACATTTTTGTGCGTGATGCACAGGTGCATTGGAATTTTTGAAAGCAGATACGAAAATGTATTGGAACAACCTATCGATTGGTATATGATTTATTGTTACATCATTAATCATTATGCCCAACTTTGGAACTTAATATCTCAACATCTACTGGACCGAATTGGATACAATTTTTTTAAAGACGTGCCATTGCGAATATTATTTTTCCGTACTTTCCGATTTGTTCTCACTCGCAAGTCCCGCATCACAGGCTAATTTGTTTATAAGCCTAAATTTTCAAACTTTTTAAAACCGCTCAAAAAGGAAGTAACAATTGAAATATGGTTAATATAGCAATTGTATATAATAGTTTAAGGGTCCAAGAAGGTGTAAAAGCGCGGCTGCAAAAAATATTGATTACTTTGAGCCGGACACAAAATAAAGAAAAAGCTAATTTTTCAGGTAGGTTAATTAACAGTTGCATTATGCAAAAACTGTCCGTCCGATCCCAATCGGCCTTGCGGCTCTTGTTTTCTATTGTAGTCAATTACTGTTCTCAAAATCTGTGGTTGTTCTATTTTTTCATTGTTAAATAAATAATCTAAAATAATATTGTTTTTTGTCTACTTTTTTGGCACTTTCGAGCATTATGCAACGAACATTTCAAATTTACGGATATCGGACCAACTCTGTCTTATAGACAATTTCATAGCGAAATAATTTATATGTAAGTATATATTTTGTCTCTAAAATACATATTTACCGAGTTACATGCGACTTTTTCGGAAAGAAAAACGCGATTTTCAAATTTTTGACTAATTGTTCGTTGTTTTTGCAAATAGCACAATTTTTTGAGATGGCGCGCCTCGGTATTTTCAATAGGTACGTCACGTTAGAGCATACCAATACCCTCTTACTACCTAGCTTGTAAGCTGCCCGAAACATGCCTGTAGAACTGACACCATACTATTCTTTCATCTTCTTTAGCCAGGACGTGCATCCTTGATCGGGGCTTCCTCTATTTTAGATGTTGCCTTGCATGACATCCTGCAAAATATGAGACTTTTTCCTCTCATTATCATCACCATCATCAAACAGCTAGTCTAATTTTGTGGACTGCTGCACGTAGGCCGTCAAAAAATTTGCATCTGGTGCGGTCCTGTGCTTTTCTCAACCAGTTATTCTCGACTCTCTTAAGATCATCTGTCTAACGAGTTGGAGGTATTCCTCGACTTTTCAACGCCTCGTGTTGGGGGCGTGATTCCATCACGCATTCCATGCTCTGACTAAGTGACCTGCCCAAGCCCACTACTTATTACTTTGGTGTATGGACTTTGGTTCTTTATCGTATACACTTGGTATTCTGCCATCTTTTAACATTACTTCCATTATAGAACGCTCCATGGATCTTTGGCCAATTGAAAGCCTTTCGTCAGTTTTTGTGTGAATGTTAGTGTTTCAGCTCTATACGTTACAACTTGGAGCATGCACTGTTCGAATACAAGAGCATGCACTCTTGGTATGTCTTGACCAAGATATTTATACGCTGTTACTTGTTTGATGAAATTTGAAATAAGTAAGCATGAAGAAGAACTTAACAAAAATAAAAATTATGAGTACACAACAACAACGTGTTCTATAGATGGCCAGGACATATAAAAGGTAAACGAAAACATATACTTGAGGCATAAAATTATGTTGCGTAAGGACAACCAGACGGCAGAAATTTGAAGACGATTACAGCAGAAGAAGGAAGCGGGTGTGTACACACTGAAGAAAATTCAATCGCAAGAGATGTAAATTTGTATAACAGTGTATATATAATTCTAGATGTGGTTTAATTCAACCCTTGAATATAAATATGATATAGCGATTTCGACTGTTAGCACCCATGGGGAGTCAAGAACATGAATGGAATAAAATATAGTAAAACCTTTACTCGTCAAAGTATAAGCAAACCTCAAGAATGCAGAACAAAGGATGCCAACCAGCTGGAGTCCAGCAACTAGCAAGCAGGTAGGGCGGTCAGAAGATCACAAAAAACACATGACGGGAAACGGACAACATGAAACTGCTCACACTAAAGTTCAAAAATTTTGTCCACAATTGAAATCAATTAATAAAACTTAGAGTTAAACTTAAAATTAAAAAACTTTCAAAAATTCCGAAAAAAATACAAAAAATGTAGAACGTTGAAATAGAAACCCTGGACTGGTCGAAATGAGTAGTCAGGCGACCAGTGCAACACTGAGAGAATGTTGTTCTCGGCAATTCAAAAAACACGCGCAGTTATTCTGGATGGAAGAACAAGGAGGTTAATGTAGCTTCTTTCATCCATGTGCTAAATGCAATTAACATATTCAAAAAGGAAAAAATTGAATTACCTGAGCCAAAAAACCAACAAACATTAACAAATTGGAAACAAAAGAGATAGACTTTCGAGGCCATTCCTTGAAACAAGTG